GGGAGCGTGCAAGGGGGAGGAGGAGGAGCCAGACCTGGATGGAGAGGGGAGATGACACTCGTGCATCACCCATTCTGGTCTGGGTTGGGTTTGGGGGAGGTACGGAGGGGATAAAGCAGCGAGGAAGGGCTGTGGGAAGGGCAGCAGAGATGGATGGGACTGCCCTCGTGGGGCTGGAGAATGTTCCTGGGGCTGGGCAGCTTTGGGATGGGGGCGTGAGAACGTTGCTGCTTGACTGACCGAGTCCCTCCGGCAGCAATCGGCCGAACGCTGCGTCAGCACCCTGCTCGACCTCATCCAGACCAAGGTCAACTACGTGGTGCAGGAGGCCATCGTCGTCATCAAGGACATCTTCCGCAAGTACCCCAACAAGTGCGTGGTGGCCGCCTGCAAGCCCTGGGTGGATGCTCCCGGTCCTAGATGAGTTTTTTCGGCCCCTCTGTGCTTGGGGAGGTGGGGGGGCCCTACAAAGACCCAGGCATGGGCGAGGGACGGGCTGCTGCGCCCTCCTGGTGGGCTGGTTGGTGGTGAAGCCACCTGCAGCCTCCCTGCAGCGAAGGTGGCTTTGGGTTTTCTGCCAGTTGGGGTTGTGATCACCAGTCAGTGCTGCCCCAAGAGCGAAGCTGGGGGCAGGAAAGCCACCCCCAGCCCCAGGAACATTCTCCAGCCCCACGAGGGCAGTCCCAGATCCAGACACCCAAACGGGCAGGAGCTGACAGAGGCTTTGAGGTCACTCACATCAGCATAAACCATCTCTGGCTTTTAATTCACTGCTGGAGTGAGGGCAGCAGGAGGAGAGGGAAATGTTCCAGCTGAGCCAGGATGAATAGGCAACTGTGTGATCCTGAAGTCGTGTGCTCATAGTGGTAATAAATACTAATGAACTGAATTAGTAATGGACAGGAGCTCTGCACAAATAGCCAGTGACTCAGGGCTGCTGCAGAGAGGAGGGAGACCGGGTGAGCAGGGCTGAGAAGTTAGTTCAGCAGCGGGGCTGGCGAGTACGGGAACACGTTCTGGGGCCGGAGAGGGGTCGGCGTGGGCAGCGTCACGCTGTGCCACATCCCTGGGGCGAGGGGACAGCCCCAGCCAGGGGGGCAGGGGCTCTTGCCTGTGCCCTCGGTGATGTCCTGGTTCTGCTGAGGGTGATGGGACGTGGTTTGGAGTCCCGAGCGGGGCTAGGACTTGGCTTTCTTGCTTTCGGTGAACGGGTGTCCTCTCCTCGGGAAGGTACGAGAGCGTGATTGCCACCCTCTGCGAGAACCTCGACTCCCTGGATGAGCCCGAGGCCCGGGCTGCCATGATCTGGATCGTGGGAGAGTACGCCGAGCGGATCGACAACGCCGATGAGCTGCTGGAGAGCTTCCTGGAGGGCTTCCACGATGAGAGCACTCAGGTGCGGTGGGACCTCGGGGCAGCCCCCCCCATGCGATGGCAGGGTCTGGCTGCCAGCAGGAGCAGCCGGTTGAGGGGGTGACACCGTGACAAAGCTTGTGCTAATCAGACTGTAACAAAAGCAATTTGCTCTAGCAGGGTCGTTGAAGGCGTTTTCCTTGCAGGAGTTCAGGGCAGTGGTGTCCCACAGCAGCTCTGGGTGTGGAACGTGGCCCATGAAGTGCCACCATGGTGGCGTCCCAAGCACCTTCCCTCTGCAATAGTTGGGAGGGACCAGGTGGTCTCCTGGTCCTTCCTCTGTGCCAGGACAGGATCAGCCCTTCATTGCTGGAAAATGGAGTCTGAAATGAGCAGAGGGAACTGTGCCTGCCCGTTCTGCCAGCTCCGCTGAGGCCAGGGGTTCTGCCTGTGGAAGTTTTGGGGGGTTTTACCTACGGGAAGTTCCTACAACCCCGCTGTGCAAAACACCGCGAAACAAAGTCACGATCCACAGGGGCAAGTCTATAAACGCAAACCAGCAAAGCCAGCAATCCTGCCCGCCCTGTCTCGGGTCCAAAGGGACTGTCGGAGGTGAACTGCTGCTGCTAATCCTCGTACAAGTCCGAGGGTGCTCTGGCCTTCACCCCTGCGGGACCGTGTAACCCTGTCCCAAGATCTTGCCCAGTAACCCCTGTGTCAACCTGTGGCTCCGACGGCCTGAAGGGGCAGTAATCGGCTTGGACCGGGCTGGGAGCCGTGCGGAGTGCCCTGACCCTCGTCACCGCCGCTGAAGCGGCCACCGTGTGCTCGGTCCCCGGCGGGGCAGCTTGGGGGTTACGTCCCAGCCCGCGGGTACGGGGAAAGCTCACGCGTTCTTGTCTGTCGCCTTTGCCCGCCGGCAGGTTCAGCTGCAGCTGCTGACGGCCATCGTGAAGCTGTTCCTGAAGAAGCCCACCGAGACGCAGGAGCTGGTGCAGCAGGTGCTGAGCCTGGCCACGCAGGTGGGTGACAGCTCCTGCACGAGGGAACGGCTTCCCTCCCGGGGGGGCTTTGCTGTGTGTGTCCCCCCGCCAGCAGCGGGAATGGCTTGGTAGTGCAGCGTTTGTGCCAGGAGACAGATGATTGGAGCTTAATTCTGGAAAAGCTGATAGTTAAAGTCCTGGAGAGCAAGGACGCTGCCTCCTGTAGCCCAGGGAGGCATCTTGTGCTGTTGCCCTGCTAAGGCTGATGTAGCAAAGCAAGAGTAGCCTCTGTACAGCAGAGGTGTGATGTAAATAGCTTTGACTCTTATCCCGGTGATCCCTCTTAGACTACAGCAAGACTTAGATGGGGCCAAGACGCCCTGAGTTGCTCTGTAGTAGCTGCAGCTTCCCCTTCCCGATGGCTTTGGCCCTAACCCCTGTGCTTCCCGAAGGACTCCGACAATCCCGACCTGCGGGACCGCGGCTACATCTACTGGCGCCTGCTCTCCACCGACCCCGTGGCCGCCAAGGAGGTGGTGCTGGCGGAGAAACCCCTCATCTCCGAGGAGACGGATCTGATCGAGCCGACACTCCTGGATGAGCTGATCTGCTACATCGGGACGCTGGCCTCCGTCTATCACAAACCTCCCAGCGCCTTCGTGGAGGGCAGCAGAGGGGTCGTGCACAAGAGCTTGCCCCCACGGACGGGCTCGTGAGTATCCCTGCCTCCCCAGGGCGACTCCCCGCCCCGCGCTGGGACTTCCAGGGCTGGATCCACGCGATGGGCAGGGTGGATGCTGAGCCGCGCGGCTGTGGGGCTGTGCAGAGCTGGCTGTGTCTGCTGGGCTCGGAGCCGAGCTGAGGGCTCCCTTCCCAAGGGGAGGCTCCCCTGTAGGAGCAGGGCTGCGTGGATCCCATACTGCCCTTACGAGGCTGCAGGGGTGATCTCTGGCCTAAGTGGAAGGTGATCTCGATGAGAACGTGTTGAAGTGCTGGGAGCCACGGGGTGTCTCTGACACTGCAAATGTCTCCAGCGGGACATGGAGCCCCTCAGCATCTCCTGGCTTTCCCTTGTCATTCCCTCTAGGAGCGAAAGTGCCGAAAGCCCCGACACAGCCCCGTCGGGGGTGCAGG